ATTATCATTATTATTGTTATTCATTATAGTTATTATTATCGTTACAATCATTATCGTAGTTATTTTTTTGTTGTTTTTATTATTACCATTGCTAATATTGATGCAGTAATAGTAGTATTGTTATTATCATTATTGATATCATCATCATTATTACTATTGTTATTGTTTTTATTATTATTACTATTATTAATATTATTATTGTCATTATTATTATTATTATTATCATTATTGTCAGTATTATTATTATTATTATAATTATTATTAGTATTGCCAGTATTGTCATTATTGATAATTTTTATAGTTTATGATTATTATTATCATGATTATCATTATCACTATCATCATTATTGATATTATTAGTAGTAGTATTGTTATTATTGTTATCATTATCATGATTATCGTATTCTTATTATCGTATCATCATCATATCATCATCATCATCCTCATTATTATCATTATTATTAATACCATTACTATTGTTATTATCGTTATTATCATTTTCATCGTTACCATAATCATTGATGTAATTGCTATTATTGTTATCATTATCATTTTTGTTGTTACTACTATTACTATAATTAATTATTGTTAATATTATTAATAACAATACTATTATTATTATTATTATCATTAGTTTTGTTGTTGATAATATCATTATGATTATTTTTTTTCAATTGTTATTTTTTATTGTTATTATATTTATTATTACTACAATTATTATTTTTATTGTTGTTCTTGCTATAATTATCATTATTATTATTATCACCATTATTATTAATTTTATTTAATTGTTGTAATTATTATCATTATTATTGTTATTATTGTTGTTGTTGTTTTTCCCCATCCTTCTCTTTATTTTTGTTTATCTTTTTCGTTTCTTTACCATCATCATCATTTGTCGTTCTCGATGACGTATGATTATGTAGTCAAAGAGATACCCACCTACAAGAATATACAGAATCCCATTTATTCAGACATTTATCTATTCTCATCTACGTACAGATTAGTGGATACTTAAATAAGCAAAGTATATCGAAAAAAGAAAGAAAGAAATAGAGAGAAGAAAGGAGGTAGTGTGTGAGAGAGAGAGGGGGGGAGGGAGAGAAGAGGGGGGAGGGAGAGAGAGAGGGGAGGAAGGAGAGAGAGAGAGAGAGAGAAGGGGAGAGAGAGAGAGAGAGAAGGGGGGAGGGCGAGAGAGAGAGGGGGAGGGAGGAGAGAGAGAAAGAGAGGGGCGGGAGAGAGAGAGAGGGGGGCAGATGAGAGAGAGAGAGAGAGCGAAAGCGAAAGTGTGGAAGAAAGAGAGAGAGAAAAAGAGATTCCAAAGATTACACTTCTTCACCGAAGTTATATTTGCCTGTCTAATAAAGTTCGCAAGAAAGGTCACAAGTACGAAAGGCTTG